TTTGGGGTTATGAACTTGTCTAAGACCCCCCCATAATTAGACATCCAAATTCAAAATTCACATAGTTGGGATTGATCATAAGACGCCTTCTCTAACTAAACAGAGAAGGGGGAGATGCCAGAAGCCAGGACCCTCGCCCTTACCCTCACTCCCTACCTTTCCCCACCTGCACAATGTCCCCTGAAGCTTGGCAACTGCAAGATCCTGCTTAGCAACTGCAGATAGACTCAAAGCAGTGTACCATATCTTCTGAAGAATAGCAGATAGATCATAATTCAAGGCAGTGTACCGTATAGACCATGACATGTTTCAAGGCACAGGCCAAGAAGATTTTGTACTTTTCCACCACCTGGCCCCTCTTACCCCCTCCCCTTGTAAAACATGCTATAAAAAAGCATTTCATGTTCAAAAAAAAAGAAATTAAAAAAATAAAAAAAATAAATTATTTTAAAAAAATGGTGAGTCTTTGCAGTTTAGGGAGCCATGTCATGATGATATAGGATGTCCCAGCAGTCTACTAGTGACATTGCGGTTTGACAATTGGTTGTGGGGAGCTGTCTAAGATATTTTAATATGCTTGTGCCGTACCCTGGCCTTTGCCTAGTAAATGCCAGGAGCATCTCCAGCTTTCCAAGTTGTGGCAACCAAAAATGTCTCCTGAGGAGCCCTTGGGGCTGCTTGGCAAGAATCTGACATGGACCAAGGACAAGGAAATGGGCTGCTTGGCAGGAATCTGACATTAGCCAAGGACAAGGAAGTAGGCTTCAGGCAGGAATCTGACATTAGGCTAGAACAAAGAAGTAATTTCAGGCAGGAATCTAAATCTTAGGCTACAACAAAGAAGTAATTTCAGGCAGGAATCTAAATCCTAGGCTAGAACAAAGAAGTAAGCTTCAGACGTGAAAATGACTTTGGGCTAGGACAGGGAAGTAGGTTCAGATATTTTGGTTATCCTGGTAAGTCCTTAGAAACAGTGATCATGGGAGTGATCATGGAACTTTGTTTATTGCCTTGCTTGTTCTTAACTATTTGTGTTTATTGTCTTGCTTGTTCGTTGACTATTTGCATCTATTGTATTGCTAGTCCCTCAACCTAGAACTGACCTTAATACTTACATGTAATTAAAATGGTATAAAAGCAAAAAGGAGGAGGGGGGATGGGATAGAGGGGGGTTCTAGGGAGGGGAAAGGGGGAAAGGGGATGACATCTGAAATGTAAATAAATAAAATATCCAATAAAAATACTATAATTTTTTAAAATGTCTCCTGAGGCATAAAATTGCTCCCAGGTATTGCCCACTGTTGTAATAGTATATTGTGTTTTACCTCCTTGTAGGCATTAATTGGGGCATGTGTATTCTTTTTTTTTCATCCATTTTCTTCACTTTCTTTATCTTGTGAAAAGTTGAGGAAACTTCCATTATGATAAGGTGATTCTCTCCCCTTGTCCTCTCACCCCTGTTTGAGAGTTCAGTTTTTAGTTCTCAAAACTGCTAGAGTCAAGTGCATATCCACTCAGTCTTAGACCTGGGGTTTCTGGGTATGCTTCTTCAGTGGTCTCCTTTGCAGCCCGTGTCAGTCTGACTGCTCTCTTTGTTCTCCTTCCCCCCACCAACCCCCACTAAGGAAGGGCCTGCCTTTCTTATGAATGCATACTCCACAGTTACAGTAAACAATGGTGGCCGCAGGAGTGTGCATTTCATGAACTAGTCCTTCCTCTTATGCTCCCTCACTGGCATTTCTTTCATAGCAGCTACCACAACTCCAAAAGCCCCTGTGTTGTAAAGAATTGCTTCTCATCAAAACCAACTCACTTCTAATTCTTTTTTTAATTGAAAACATTTTTCATACAATATATTCTGATTATGGTTTTTCCTCCCCATACTCCCAGTTCTTCCCCACTTCCCCTCCCATCCAGACCCACTCCCTTCTGTCTTTATTATAAACAGCACACTGATAATTAGTACTTTGGCATTATTCTTAAGGTTCTTGAGCATCTTGAGCACATTTTGTTTGATTATAGACTCTTAATCATTGGACTCTGAAAATTTTCCACAAATTTTTAAAGGATGAATATTTCTTTTGCTTATTAGAAATAATAGCTCCTTCCAATACTCCTCATCGGAGCCCAGGGAAGCATGTGTCATATAACCAGACAGGTTTTCCCATCAGTTAAAAAAACCTTTCTGTCTCTAGTAACTTTTGAAATGATATCAAAGGAGGTAGCAGGTACCAGATGGCAATCCCCAGCTTTACGCTACACTACCGAAATGCTCAGCAAACGCTTTGTGGTTTGCCTGCAGGCTTTCCTTTCACCTACTTATTCATCACAGCTCCCACCCTGACAGGCTGTAAGACCAGAAAGTCCTGACCAAATCAGAACCAAGGATCATCTTCCTCTCCTACCCAGGGAAGACAGACTTGCTTCAGATTAAATAGTGCATCTTAAATTTTGTTTGCCCAGTCTTAATGGTTTGAATTCCTGGTTTATAATTTCACAGTTGCCGTAAGGAAAGTGTGCATGAGGAAGGAAGAAATGTATATGGGTATTTTGCTTGTATGCATGTCTGTGTCCTTGGAGGGCATTAGATTCTCTGGAACTAAAATTATGGACAGTTGTGAGGCAAAGTGTGAGTGCTGGGAATCAAACCCAGGTCCTCTGAAGGGCAATCAGTACTCTTAACAGATGAGCCATTTCTCCAGCCCTGTAAAGTAATTTTTGAATGATTTTTAAACGTTTATATATATTTTAAATTCGGTGCAATGAGTTAATATGATACGGTTTCCATGAAAATTCTGATCATTTAAGTTCTTCTTAGTCTAATCAGTTTGGGGTCTAAAACTCACGTAAGGATAATTTGTTGTAACTTTGGAGAACTCTGGGCATTTCAGACAGCCTCCTAATGGAGTTAGATGGAGTTATTCTGTGCTTTGCCACTACATTAGACAGCTCAGTTTTCAGCCTGTACAGGTCACCGGGAATTTCCAGTTATCCTTTGTCTCTGCATGTTACTGGACCAAAAACTTAATTGATCTTATGAAAGAATGGGTACTCAGACTGAGGAGATAGGTACAGACTGGGTAGAAGTACTTGACACTACCAAGTAAAAAGGTAGGCTTGGTGACACCTACTTGTATTCCCAGTGCTGGGGAGACAGGCACATCCCCAGCACTTACTAGCCAGTCAGCCTTGCATAATGTGCAAGCCCCAGGTCCCAGTGAAACACCCTTTCTCTCTCAAAATCAACATGGATGGCTCCCGAAGATAAGAACTAAAGTAACTTCTAGTCTTTACACCCAAGCACATGTTCCAACATATGCACCTGCACACATACGCACGTACATATGCAAACAGATACACAGAAGAATAGATATACACTGTAAGTACCTGAAGCCAGAATATGTTCCAACTTCAGGTATTTTTATCTCTCAGTTAGGGAATGAGTTAAAAAGATCAAGGCATTTTTCAGTATTGGATTTTGATGAGAACTACACAAAATGTCTACTAATTTTGAGCACATGGCTCTTAGAGAATCTGCTCCATGAATTGCTTCTACACTTCTTGTTCAGGAACAAAGCCTGCTATGAAATTAAAGATCTGTAGACTCACATGAACTTAATGTAGACTTCTCTTTGAATACCAAAATGATCACCGTGTGGAGGAAAGAAGAATGAGCCTTTGAGCAGTTCCTAACAACCTGCCGAGTTGTGCACAAAGGCTGATTTTACTCAGCTGTTTCATTTGTTTCCATTCAAGAACAGAATGCAAGTAGAAAAGGAAGATGGGGCTTATGATCATTTGGAGAACACATTTTTTTTATTTTTTTAATCATAATGTATACAATACAGAATAGAATCACTCTTTCTTACTGGCAAAATTACATAAAAGAAATTATCACTTAGAAATGATTGCTTCTTAAATATTCTTAAATACCAGAGAAATTGGGATAACCACTTAACTTCATGTCTGTGTTTTTTTCATCAGTAAGTACATTAACATGCTTTGTGGTTGTGATGATTAAAATTATAATCATGAAACATATACACAGAGGGTCTAGCACATAGCAAGTGCTGACTAGCTGGTAGCTCACAATAGGAACATTATCTGATTTAATAATAATTATATTAATTAGGTCATATTTTCTGTTCCACAATTAAAGAAACTAGTATGTAAAGAGAGTGAGTAATTTGCCCAAGATTCTCTAGCTAAATAAGAGATGGAGCTAATATTGAACCCAGAGAGTTCAATATTATACATGATTATACTTCTTTATACTTCATTTGTTTAGTTTACAAAAAGTAATTAAACATAACTATATGGCAGGCACTGTCATTATTGATAACACTGTTATTTATATTGGAAATATATGAAAATAGGATATAGATGGGCATGTAATTGCATGTGTATTGTTTTTTATGTTGATAAGTATCCAAATGTTTGTAAGTGAAATCTATGTATTAAATATTAGAATCATTAGCCGGGCGGTGGTGGCACACGCCTTTAGTCCCAGCACTTGGGAGGCAGAGGCAGGTGGATTTCTGAGTTCGAGGCCAGCCTGGTCTACAGAGTAAGTTCCAGGACAGCCAGGGCTACAAAGAGAAACCCTGTCTCGAAAACAAAAAACAAAACAAAACAAAAATATTAGAATCATTGAATATTGCCTTTCCCAGTAAAATGAGCCAAATAATACCAAATTGACTTCACACTGCCTTATTCATTCAATTAGATGAGATTTAAATAAAGACTTTTCTTACTGGTTGACTTTTCCAGTACTTACATGTTTCTAATTATTTTTTCAAGTTACCAACAAAATCAAATCTGAGCATAGATGGGTACTTGCATTAGGTTAGAAAGTAGGGAAACCCATAAGCCTTTCTGGTTCTTCATCCTATAGACATAAAATATTGTGTTTTGAACAGAAGATCCACAACTGACTGAAAACAAAAAAAAATTGTCTGACTTTATACACAGTAGAATCCTTTTGATATACTTGACTTGCCTTTCAAAGTCTCTGCCATCTCGTCTTTCAGTATAAGTAGAACTGTAAGTTCAATTTTATGCATATATTTGTTTTTAAAACCCATAGAGGTTTTCTTGGTGCCTATTAATGTCACTGAAAGAGTCACATGCATTTTTTTTCTATTTTGTGGTGTTTTCTATCCAAAAGCCAACCATAAGGTAGTATGGGCAGTGAATTAAGATTTTGTAAGGAGATCATATAGTGTCTTCTTGAATGTTTTATCTAATAAAAGAAATATGATGGGGTCTGTACTACTTCTGGCTGATGCAAGACAAGTGAGGATATTTTTTGCTTCTATTAAATAATTCAGCTGCTGACAGTCTCCTTCTCTCTGGTGCAGAACATAAAAAATGGGTTTAAAAATACTATATGGAAGAAAGCAAACTACTAGGAGGACCTGGATAATCAGAAGGTGTCTTTTCACAGATCTGTAGGTCAAATGTTTCTCAGTAATGGAGGTACAGGTTCTTACTCTTCTCAGGTGGCTGACTAAAGAATAGTATGATGTCACAACTACTAAAAAGGAGAATCCAATAAATGTGGTTCCAATGAGACCCGCAATCTGAGAAGGGCTGCCTCCCAGTTCCATCTGCCGATTGTAGCACTGGCTCTCTCCTTCTTCTGTAGCCTCGACCGCTGAGTAGTATAGGATAACTGGAATAATTACGACAAGTACAACTCCCCATATGTAAATGCACATTGTTCTGGCAAAGTTGGGCTGGCGAAATCTTTTCAGTAAGTGACCATAAAACATTCTCTCGTAGCATGAGGTGGCCTCTTGCACAGACTCCTTTTTCACTAAGGTAGCATAGCGGCTTATGGCAATCCAGGTTAAAATTAAGAGGCTGACAAACATACTTACATGCATGGATAGAGTTCCCAAAAAATTGACCAGTCTGCATTGTACAGATTGATATTTCCAATAAAAACCCTTCAAGAAATATATACCCATGAAAGGCATAGCAGTGCACACAAGTAAGTTTGCAGTCACAAGATTTGCCAAGTAGATATGTGTTGATGTTTTCTTACCTATTTTTGTTAAAAATACCCACTGAGCAAGTGAGTTTCCAAAGAGACCAACAATACATAAAAAGATGTAAGTGATCGGTAGAGCTGTAGTAGAGATCACGGATGGTTGAATGCATGTCGAGTTATTATTCATTTATATTAGACTTTCTTGATTTTAGTCACAGGAGCTAGAATGGAATTATGTATACTTAATATTAAAACTAACAACAAAAGGCATTTTTCTTTGTTTTGATGGAACAAGAAAATCCAGGTAGTTTCTTACCTTTTGTAGTTGTCACAATGGTCTGGTTAAAGTAAAAGCAACAGTACTTAAAGCAATGGGTAATACCTTCGTCTAAAAAGCAAAATTTGATACAAATAGTTAATTAAATGCCTGCGGTTTATCATTCATAAGTTGGAGAAATTTATACTTCTTAGATTATAAAGCAATATATAAGTGATGGTAGATTTTACCTAGCCATCTAAAAGCATAAAAAGAGGACAGTGGTCCAAACGTGGGCACATTAAGAGAAAGGTCAAACACACCACATTATAAAATAACTTAAGAATTAACAGTTTTATTAGAAAGTTTTTATACTTAAGCTTTTCTTTTTAAAACTAATAAATAAAAGCTAGTTTTTAATTCCAATATTGATTGTATTCAGTAATCCAGAAGTAAGCCCCATTCCAGATGTACAAAACCTTCAGACAAGATCCCGAATAAGGATAAACTCCAGAACCCATGGTCATTACAAGGTCACCAATAATCTCTCATTCCAAATACTGCCAAGCAATCACACTCCAATAAATTGCATTATGTATCAAAATTATACTTGGTATGCTTGATGGCTAGAGTATGCTAATGTGTCTTCTTCTGGAATCTAGTATCTGGTTTTTCAGGATTTGTTTATTTAGAGGATATAGGTTTTCAACCCAGTATAAATGTAGACATGGATTTTACTTTTTTAAATTTACTTCTATTATATGTGCATGGGTGTTTAGCTTGCAGACAGTTGTGAGTTACTGTATGGCTGCTGAGACTCACTCAAACTTGGGTTTTCTGGAAGACCAACCAGGGCTCTTAACCACTGAGGCACCTCTCCGGCTCTGGTGTCTACTTTTTTATATATCCTCTTTTTAAGTCTTTCCTGGCGCAGAGGTATATATGAAGACATGAGAAATCCCAATCAAGCTCTCTTCTTTTTTTGCCTTACTTTTTTCAGGTGAGAAGAGCATAGAACAGTTACTAGGTTCTGGTCAAACAACAATCCTGATTTCTATTTTCCAAAGTTGTGGCTATCATTAGCAACTTTATAAATTATATTTATTGATTTTTAAAAGCACATGATTTCTCGAGTTTCACCATTGACTTTTGGGGCAGCATATTTTGCACACTTTTATGCTCTATAGCAGAATTTCTTAAACTTTTGTTAATCACCTTCTTTCTTTTGATGATAAACATAAAAAGGTTTTCCCACAGAGCATCTTCTGATCTCTGCCCTCTCAGGATTGTATTCTCTACCTCACTTCAGAATCTTGGTCTTATTATTTTCTGCATCTTGAATTGCTTTAAAATTACATCAGATTTTATAAACATGAGGATCATTTCATAGTATTTTATCATTTTGAAACAAGTTTTAAGCCAATCTCTTCCCTAAACACTTAAAAGACTATGCAGTTGGTCTGCACCAAGTCCTGAAAGCCTTACTCAAGGTCTACCACTGTTTTTGTTTTACCTCTTTATTATTTTTATTCAGCAGGGCTACATATGGTGTTTCAAACTGCAGTTGCAAATACTCTTAAATATGCAACCTTAACCTTGTAACCTTGCTGATTTCAAAATTAGGCAAATAGAGATTGAAGGGAACCAGTTCGTTTATTGAGAAAAATCCCCTTCCATTCAAAAGAAATTTGGGTTTTACCGAAAGGCCAAAGCTTTTTTTAAGGGATGAAGCTTCTTTTATGCAAAGCAGTAGCCTCTACCTCATAGAGATAATGCATTATGTGCTGAAAGCAGCAGAGGTTATGGTACCTCGATGAATATCAGTAGCAAATAGTCCCTAATGAAAGGAGAGCAAAAGACTACTATTGAGAAGCCAGATGTTGAGTCTCTCCAAAAACAAATGACAACTAGCTCCCCTTCTTCAGCCTTCCAAATTCATGCCCCCTTCAATAATAGCCTTTGATTCTAAGCTACTAGAAAAATAGTTTCAAAAAATTGTAAAATGCAATTAAACGTGAGAAGTCAAATAAAAGTGAGCTCTTACAGAATTGCTTCCAAGAAAATGTCTCCAAGTGTGCATTCTCCTCAGCAGAATGTCTGTGTGCACACTGTGCTAATTTGACAAATGAGAAAACTTCTACAACTCTAGCAGTTAGTTACTCATGGCTATTTAAACACTTCTGATGCTGACTACCTTATTTAATGATCAGACTTCACAATTCAAACATTGTAGTCCTTTTAGACATTTATAAAGTTAACCTTTAAGCTAAAACTGAGCAAAGAATTACCCTTACCTGTATAAGTAGCTTATACTCACTAAGGTTTCACACTCCACAATTCTCTGATCTTTACTCTTCCAGTATCCTTAATCAGTATGAGTAGAGTCTTGCATGACACCAAGTACAATGGGGAGAAAAAGGAAATTAGACTGTTGAAGAAATCCAATAGTTACAGTAAATATAGCAAGTACCTCCTCAAAAAAAAAAAAAAAACAAACCAAAACAACCCTCATTTCTCTATTTCATTAGTAGGAGGAAGTTAGTGGGTAACATATATATGTGTGTGTGTGTGTGTGTGTGTGTGTGTGTGTGTGTATCGTATAAATAGATATATATATTGTATAAATAAATATATATTTAATATACTTATGATTATTTCATAAAGTAGTTAGCTTTATTATTGAGATGGCTAAAGTTACACTTCAAAGGTTTAATCCCACATAGCTAATTATTTTTCTATGAGCATGATAGAAAGAACTACTTTCCAGTAACTCAATAAAATATCAATATAAATTTGTCTCTAAAATTAACAACAAAATCATTTGGGGACAGCTTCTTTGCAATCCATCTTGTTCAAGAGTAGAGGAAAACAAAACTTCAAGTTTTCTTATTTATACCAGCTTGCTCAAATAAAATATCACTAGGCAGGATTAAAATTCATGGTCATCAGTGGTCTCTACTGTTTTAAGGTTGAAAAAGCTGATGCCCAGAGATGCTGTCTGTATGCTCAGAGTATACATAGGGACTAGAACCCAGTTTGGTTACTAATAAGCAACTTTTCTTTGCTTTTAATTGGCATATTCTACCTCCATTTGGAGTTGAAGTAGTGGATATATGAGTTAGAACATTTTATGATGGATTTTGGAAGTAGCAAATATGTTTAAAACAAGTTAATAGATATAGCATGTGGTCTGAACTGACCTTAAGTGAAGGCTAAATGTACATTTATCACCGACCACTGAACTGCCTATATCCCCAGCCCAGTTCTGCCAATTCTTGTTTCCAAATCCAAGTCCACCTCATCTGCTTACCACTTGTCTAGTACGTAGATGATGAGAAGTTGGGTTTACTCAAAGATTGATCCTGAGAAGCTGGAGAGGACTGCCATCAGCAGAGTTCTATCTTGGAGAACTGGATTACAAGAAGGGCAGAAAAGCCTGGGTTATACAGTGGGACAATGGGCAGGAAACTCTGTGCTCATTCCCCTGCCCGCCTCTGGCTAGAACTGTAATCAACCTTGACCTCCTGAAGATAGTTAGAAACACATTAGTTATCTACAAGTTAACCTTGATAGCAATTTGTATGCTTTGTGTTAACTGATGCAGAGAATTAAAAGAACAAGGGGAGCTACATATTCTGATGTTATCACAAAGTCACCAGGAGTTGGGGATGGAGGGGGTCAGTCAATCTAAAAATTGTTTGGCAATTCACATTTTTCTCATTTAGGTGAGCTTTTCTTTAGCATTTAAAGTAACAAAAGCAGAACAGGCAAAGGTAACTGCTGGGAGAGGGAAAGAGGAGGTGGCCACATAATTTCTCACCATTACCCCACTGCGTGTTCAACCTGGCCCTACTCGAGGACATTTGCATATCTGGCAAGCCCTTTTCCTAGACCTGAGTTCTCCAGGATGGACAATTTTTTAAAAAGGTGGCCATTGCTCCATTCTCAGACTGTTTTAGATTTCACTGTCATACATTTTCCCTAAACAGTGCAGTTCATGCAGGTATTTGTTGGAGTTTCTACCACATTTCTAGCAGCACATGGAGGTCCCAGAAGTAGAATGCTAACCACAAACTAGAGCGTCTTAAAATCCAAGGAAGATGTGGTGAGTAATACAGACTTGAGCTGCTCTGAGAATTAGAAAATTAGTTGAATTGGTAAATCACAATGGTTCTTTACGAGAATTGAGAGGAAAGACCAAAGAACATGTGATGAATGGAAAACTGGACTCAGGGAAGGAACAGCTCAAGTGAGACTACTAGGTAAATACTATCAAAGGTTTTCTAAGACAGTAAACAGTACTCTCCAATAGTAGAAAAAAGTAATGGCAGGAAACACTAAGCTAACAAATAGTACTTGTCATAGAGCTATTTCAAGAATATTAAGCCAAGTTGTAAGTTCTCTAGGAAATAGTGTGCCCCTTTGGACTTCCATGTCACAAGTTTTCTCTGGTTCTTTGTGTTTTCATCATTCTCCTCTTCAGAGTACTGCTTCCTTTGTCCACGTGTAAATGTCGTTATCTGATTACTTCTCAGATCATCTGTCCAAACACTTCTCCCCTCCATACTCTTCTAATCTGCTTCAGGGAAGTTTCTAAATCTGGACCCTGGAATCCTTTGGAGTACTTTAGGAAAAGTGATACAAAAGGCAGGCATGTGCTCATTCAGTTTTGCAGCCCATGTCGAGCTATTGTTACAGCCTCTATCGACTTTGAAGGTCACTTACCAGTTTCCCTCAAAACCAAAAGCAGGAGGACCTTAGTCATACCTGAACCTGTGTGTTTCAAATGGGAACTGATTTTTGGCTCTCCAGGCTAATCTCTAAACTGGCTACAACTGGACAATATAAAAATTGTCCATCTGACCAATCAGCAGCTTAGGGCATTGAGAGGGAAGCTGTTATGCAAGACAAGAACACACGTCTAAATATGTACATTTTAGAACACCACATTCTTGATTTCCCTCAAAGGAGGCCATGGTAACCCTTATTCATTTCAATGCTTACCCAAGCCAATTAGCTTTAGACGTGCAGTGCAGTCCTATTACTCAAAGCTGTGGTTTGTTCAAGTTCAGCGAACCTTCTGTTCTCGTTAGGATGTGGTATCTGGCCACAGCCTTGTTTCCAGTGCTACTGTTCTCAGGTCCTCACATCCTACTACAAGAAGCTGTAGTTGTGGAAGACCCCAGTGTAACTAGAGTTTTAGGATGAAAGCTCCATCTCCAGAAGCCCTAACAGGCTGATCTTGGCCGCCCATCTTACTATGCCAATTCCAGAAGCAAATGACAAACTGTAAAAAGCAGAGGAAGGAGACATAATCATGTGCACATCAAAAAGAGGAACAGATAAGTGTCTGCTGACCCCAAATCCCTCTACAGGGTACCGATATCAGCTGTAAGTTTTAAACAGAGGGCAAACTGAGGCTGGGAGACAATAGCTGTGCATAATTAAACAGCCTTAGTCAAGGTATAGCCAGTAGTTTGTGTGACTCACAGATCATTGTCTCAGTTCTGGTTCATCAAAGGTGGTCTGCAGACATTCTTATTGTTTGAGGAAACGGGGTGGTCCTCAGGAGATGATTGCTCATGCTTAGAACTCACTGGATAACTGCCCTCATCTAGGTGATGGAATCCAAGGGAGGGAGGGCTAGTTTAGGATAATAACTGGACATCTTTGGTACCTTTTAGGCATCTAGAACAGGACATAATAAGAAGCTGATACTAAGATGCCCCCTTTAGTCCTGTCTCTGTGTCCTTGGCCTCAATGGACAATGGAATAAATGATCATTTGATAGACACTCCTGGAGTGATCCATATTTGCATATGTAGATATAGATAATGAGCCAGATTAAAAGGGATAGATGCAAAATAAAGGCAGAGACACCAGGCTTGCTCTGTGCTTTTAGGTCCCTGGGGACCTGAATGAGAAGTCAGTGCTTTTTAGGACCATCAGGGGGTTTTCCCCCTTCTTTTTGTGGATGTGTGCATGTGTTCATATGTGTGCAGGTGCATCTTTATGCCATGTTTCAGAACCAACCATTCTTTTCTGTGGGTTCTTTGAAAGCCAAAGGTAAAGATGGAAATGGGCCAGCAGTTCTCGTGTTACTGCTGTGCCTGTGCTATCTTTGAAGTATGCAAAGAAACTTACTTTCTTTCCTTAAAAGCAGACATTTCTGAAAATAAGTCATTTGGTAAGAGTCTGAGAGAAATGTGACTTATCGCAAATTCCCACAAGCACATGCCCACATCACAACACAGCCAGAATGCAGAAAGATTAAGATCATGTATCAGTGCCCAGAATTCTCCATGCTTCTTTCCAAGAACAAGGTCATTTTATTACTAGCCATTTCTTTTGAATTTGTCTATAAAATTGTCCTAAGAGTAAGGCTGTGTTTGCACCCCTTTCTGGTTGACCCCAAGTATTAAATGCTGTTTCATCCTGACTCATATTAAATAAGATAGCACTCACAGAATCTGTTATTTTTTATTTTATTTAAAAAGACATTTCATACAGTATATTTTTATCATATCCTTTCTCCTCATCCAAATCTTCCCTACCCAACTTCATGTTCCCTCTCCCTCCTTCCCCTCCCCCTCTTCTTTGTCTCTTTCTATCTCTCAACAAAAAAAAAAGAAGAGAAAAGAAAACCAAAACAAATGAAAACTAAGTAAATAAGATAAATAACAACAAAAAAGGCACCCGTGCAAAAAGCATACCATGTGTTTGGGCCTTATTGCTTCTGATTAGGTAAACAAGTTTCTCATATCTCCTTCCGACCAAAAATAGCTTTTACTTAGGTCAACTTTTCATGTAATCTGAAGCTTATATTTTGCAATCCTAAATTTAATGTTACCCTTTACCCAGTGGATTCTAGCAATCATTGGTGATTCCTACTAAACTAGGAGTCTCATCCATTGGCACTTGCATCTTGATGCAATCTTTCGATGTATGGAAATAGTTTAGAGTTGAAATTAGTCATTCCAAACAAGTATACATACGTGGCTCCGTTTCTTATATGTTCTCGTTGCCTTTCTTTTAGGAAAAATCAACCTGAAGTGTGTTAGTTTAATAAGACTAAGCACTGATGCTTGGGAAATAATAAATTTACTTGAGTTCCACGTCTCCAGAAATACCTAGTAGAAAACAATTGGAGAGAAAACCTTTATTAAGTTTTAACACAGAACAGCTCTGTAAACTGCTTGCTTCATTAGCGCTCTGGCCGGCAGAGGGCAGTGTATCACCGCAACAAAGCTATTTTTTTTTTTTTTTAATTTGCTTAGTTTCCAGCTGGAAATGACTGCAGTACTGGCTGGGGAAAAAAAATTGAGGAGTTTGTCCTTTTAAGCGCTAATAAATCTATAAATGTACCTTTTCTAGTGCATGAAAA